TTTTCATTTTTTCCTATTTCTATTTTTTTAATATTTTGATATTTTAAAGATTGATCAAATATATATTTTGCATCATCAATGGCTAACTCAACTAATCAAAATAAAATATTTTTGCCATTTCCTCTATCTTTTAACATAGATGATTTTTTTAAATTAAAAGATAATGGTGAAAAACCAAAAAAAACCATCTAACTCTTTCATAATTTATCGTACATTATTTCAAAAAGAAGTCGAAAAACATAGTTTAAAAATACCTATACGAAAATTATCAAAAATGATTGGTGAATGTTGGGGAAAAGAATCAAAAATTGTGAAAGATGAATATGAAAGAATCTCTAAAGAAATTGAAAAAAAATACTATGAAAAATGGCCTATTCCTTATAAAATTCAATATAAAAATGAATTTATATTAGGTGAAGAAAAAAATATTATTGATAATAATATTAATAACAATAATAATATTAATAATATTAATAATCAATACAATAATATTAATAATGTTGATAATCAATATATTAATTATGATGATAGTAGAAATAATTTTTTTTCAAATCCAGATAATAACTGTATGATTATTTACCATCAAAATATGATTAATAATCATCAATTCATGGTTAATTTTCATTATAGTGAATTAAAAAAATATTACGAATAAGAATATGTTAAACTATTTATTTATATGTTATTTTTTTTTATAAATATTTTTATATAAATATATGATTCATTTTTATGCAATTAATAATAAAAAAATATATAAAAGAAATTTGAAATTTTAATATTTCTTTAATGAAAATGAATGTATTTTCTTGAAAGAAGAGAGTTTTTATATAAAATTGCCATCACCTCCAAATATAGAAAATATCGATGATTTAATCAAGACAAAAAAAAATAAAAAATCAAAGAAACCACCTAATATTTTTTTCATTTATCGTAAAATTTACGTAAAGGAACTTCAGTCAAAATTTAGTGATCTTCCACAAATGAACTTTCTCTCTCCTATAATTGCTAAATCTTGGCACAGAGAAGAACAACACATAAAAGAAGAATATGAAAATCTTGCTAATATAGTCACAAATCATTTCTATGAATTATATCCTAATAATGATAAAAATTTCTTTATTCCAAAATCTAATAATAGTAAAATTAACGATTCTAATGATCAAATGAATAATTTAGAAATTAATAATCATGATTTACAATATCAAGAAAATCTTCAACAAAATATAATTAATAAAAATTATCAAAACATGTATAATATACAATATTATGATCTCTATACAAATCTAATTTTTCAAAACATGAAAAATAATAAATTTTAAATAATAAAATATTAAATTATAAACCAATAATAAAATTTATTAATTATTTATTTTCTTTTCTCTGTATTTATAACATAGGGGATAACAATTTTTACAAAGTATATGTCGATTATAATATTGACATAAACAATTTAAATTACCACATATTAATTCTAAACAAAAATTAAGAATATCACATCCTTCACATTTACTCTTGTAATCATTCTCATCATAAATTGAAGAATTGATCAAATGATATTTGCGATCAATAACATTATCATTTATGTAAAATTCTTCTTTCTCTCCTATCCTTCTGTTTTTTCTAACTAAACTTCGTTTTTTCACTTCATCATGAAAAGTGATAAACAATTGATATCTCTTATCTTCTTGTAATGTAAAATTATAGATGAGTGGAGCACTATATAAATTATAAACATGTTTCTGTATCAAGATATATTTAGTCACTCTCATGTTAAATATTCTATGATAACTCTTATAAAAATCACTACTTACTCATTTTACATTCTTATATTTTTGATCAAATAAAGTTATCTTTAATGGAAGATAAAATGATACTATGATGTCAATACAATCATAATTCAATTTAATAATTTTAGATTGTTTTTCATATATTTTCTTTTTTTTTCTTGTGAATTTTACTTTTGGCATTTTTTTTTTTCAAATTAATAAAAAATATAAAGAAAGTATTTATAAACTTATGAATTAATAATTGTATTAAAATAAAAAAAATATAACTTAAATTATCTTTTCAATTTATAAAAAAATTTTTCATTTTTTCCTATTTCTATTTTTTTAATATTTTGATATTTTAAAGATTGATCAAATATATATTTTGCATCATC